AAAAATTATTAGATAAACGGAGGGATAAACTGTATGTTGGTATATCAGATAGTAATGATATTGTGCTATTGGCGGTAAGGGATTACAACACCTGGAACTCTAGTGACCTGTGTTCCGAGAGACAGTGCTACAAATGAAAGTCATTATATATTATCGTTATTTTATAAGATACATACAGGCCTTGCTCCAAGTTTTCTTTATGATTTACTCCCTCCTGTATTAGGTAGTCGAACGAATTATGAATTAAGAAACTCCAGTAATTACACTCAACCCTGTACAAGACTACGATATTCGACTCTATCCTTTTTTCCATCAACAATTAAACTGTGTAATAACATCCCCTTAGCTATCAGAAACTGTAACTCTGTCGTGTCTTTTATAACTGCAGTTCATGTAAAACAAAAATGTGCACCCGTATATTTCTCATATGGGAAAAGGAAGCTAAATGTTTTGCATACAAGATTAAGATATATGACAAGTACACTTAATTATGATTTATTCAGAATTAATGTTAGAAATGATGCACTTTGTCAGTGTGGCCACAATTGTGAAAATGCTGTTCATTATTTTCTTGAATGTCCATTATATATAATTCAAAGAGAACAAATGTTAACCTCTTTAGAAAATGTAGTGAATTATAGAGCATGTATTGATATTAATCTCATCTTAAATGGCAATGCAGGTCTCTCGTTTAGTGAAAATCAGAATGTTTTTAAATCTGTACATATCTACATCCATAACACTAAACTATTTAAATAACTCTCTCTGTACATATCTATACCCTTTGTCTGCCTGTTGTTGAACGTTTTTGTAATATACATTTGTAACTATGTGGAGAGGGCTTATTTAAGTTGGATAACTTGTGCCCAATCCGTTTCTTAACTGAATAAAATATGTTTCAATCAATGAACGTACGCATGAATAACATGATTTACAACACTGTTGTTGCGAACAACATGATTCTTGTGTATTGTATGTATCACTGTATTCAGTGCCATCAACAACAACATCATCAACATAAACATCATTACAAACAGTATGCTTCTAACAGTAGCCATTTCACGTCGAACGACTCTGTTCCGTGGATGCAAGTTGTTAGCCTGATGGCATATGGTTTGGGTTTCTCATAATGTCTTATCTAAGTGGTTCATTACCGTTTATATATGATAGAAGTTGTAGTGGACAGGCATCTGACATGTAGAAGTATATCTGGCACGATGTAATCTTCGTTATACATTAGTGAGTGAGTGAGTGAGTTTAGTTTTACGCCGCACTCAGCAATATTCCAGCAATATGGCTGCGGTCTGTAAATAATCGAGTCTGGACCAGAAAATCCAGTGATCAACAGCATGATCATCGTTCTACGCAAATGATATACGATGATATGTGTCAGCCAAGTCAGCGAGCATGACCACCCGATCCCGGTAGTCGCCTCGTATGACAGCATGGGTTACTGCATGAAGAGGAATTCTAGACTAACCCGTGATCTTCACGGGCTGAACCCGGCATGGAGGTGCAGAAGATGTATGTATTGAAACACAGTAACAACGCACTTAACGGTGAATACAAGCTGTATGCACCTTCATGGAGAACAACGTTATACAAGAGAACAAGTGCAGCCGAGTACACAACCGAGGGCATGTTCATGATACATACGTCAAGCATGAACATCTGTCGCGTCACCAGTTGTTTAATGAAAGTGATAGCTGTGCCTTCTGCTGTGATGTCTGTTGCGGACAATAAAATGTATGTATGTTGGATGTTGCAACAACATGATGAAATATGCAATAATCATGTTTATCAGACCTCTATTCACGACGTTTCAAAGCACAATGAAATGATAGAATTTATTAGAAATTTGACACCAAAATACTGGCGGCCTGAACATATTTTTCATGAATGGAATGACAATGTGTACCTAGTACAATTGAAATGGTATCTTATATTGACTGAAGAGGTACATGTGTCCTCCAGACTGTGGAACATTGTCATCAGATACTATAAGACTGATGTCCCCTAATATACCTCTTGCAAATAGCAAGGAACTAATGTGTAACGAACCCTGGTCTGTCATACAGACCCTGAAACAAACATATCTTAGAAAGCCCATGCAAATCTAGATTATGTGGCAAGTCTAGATTTCCACAGTTTCTGAAAATGGAGAAACTCTAAGGGCTCCTTTTCCTCTATTTTATTTTTATTTTTTTGTTTATTATGAACTGGGTTTTTTCCTGTACAATGTGTTCATTTCAGAGACTAGTTGTTAGTCTAGACGAACCCGTGAAGATCCGGATTAGAATTGATCTTCAGTAACCCATGCTAGTCGTAAACGCTAGATCGGATGACCCATGTCATCATATCCCAATCGCGTAGATCGATGCTCATAATGTTGATTCCTCCTCGATTATTTACACACCGCCGCCATGTAGCTGGAATACTGCTGAGTGCGGCGTGAAACTAAACTCACTCACTCACCATACCGGGTTCAAACGTAATTTCCGTCAATATGCACTTGGGTCTGGTCAGGTGATTCCCATTGGAAACAATTCCATATTATGTTTTAGATATATAAAAAGATCCTGGAAATGCACAGTTAACCGTATTACTAAATTACGCCACATACACGTACAAATGTACATGTTTGTCGACAATAATAATTTAATCTTAGTTTAGTATGAGTATACTTGTACATGCAATTACCCAGATAGCATTCAGACGTTGGCCCAACGTTGACAATGGTTTTGCCAACATTGCCAACGTTGGACCAACGTCCGAATGCTATCTGGGTAGTGAGTTGACATGTGTCACTCATGAGGAATGTTATATGATAAAACTTGGAAAGCGTCGCCGAGGAAATAGCTCTTGAATCATCAATTGAGAAGAAACAAACCAAAATGTCTGATTTTATCAAAAGTGTTGATTTATCATGTTTATGTTATTAAGTGAATAAAAGTGAATATGAGCTCAGTTCTAGTGTCAAGTCTACAATCCGGCACGGTGTCTAAACCGGAATATTTCTTCAGTCCCGACGAGTGCCGGTTTAGACAGCTTCTACTGAATACCAAAACTTGACGTTAAGCCATTTAAGTTGTGGAAAAATAAAATTTTCGCTAATTTCAACTGTCTCTCATTTCACACCTCTTACTTACCAATATCAAAAACTCCCAATAAGGTATTAACGGCGTCAGACCCTCGGCTGAATTCTCCATACAGACAAGGAAAAGCTAGGGGAAGTGTATTAGACAAACGAAAACGCCAACGCGCCTACATTAAAGCTGGCCAAAGTATGTGCAGACTGTTTTTGCAAAGTTCCAAAAAACAATTTGATATCCTTAGAGTATTACCTATGTCACTGATACTAGAAACTAGAAATCTCACCAATGTCAGTGGATTTACCTGGGTACTTCCGATACGACCACACTTCTCCCAACATTGACGTAGCACCGGTGTCCACTCCCCAAACTTACTGCGTTAAGAAGAAGCGTGTGAGTTTGTGAAGGTTCTATCAAACTATATGTCTGCTTCTGTGAAAAACCAACCAGGTGTTGAGAGCATGAACAATGATCTATACAAATGCAAGGTGACACTCATTCAGTCAGAAAGTAGTAACAATATTAGCCATCCTATTACAGTTATAGCGAAGGGTCAGATTCGGGCTTGGAACAACTTAGGAAAAAGAAACGTCATGAAGAAACTAGGGGTCCCAATACAAGACAAATCTTATGAATAACACTTTCTTCATATAATAAATCAAGACGTTGTTACCCATAGGATTTGTCTTGTATTACTACACCAACTTCTAAATGCCTTTGAAGAATTTCATAGGGGTCCCAATCTTTGTTCAGTTAATAACCTTTAAACACAGGCATAACAGAATCACCATTTCAAACCAGTTGTTCCTCTGTTCAGCTAAACAAAGAAATCTCGCCTTGAAGTTTTTTCCTTTTAATAATATAGTTACATGTGTACATCAAGGCATGTAAAGCAAGCCAAAGCCTAAATTGATCCAGCTGGGGCGATGACAGACGGATAACAGTTATCGCTATCCTGGGAATAGACTATCGACAAGAGGACCCTTGGACTGATGATGGAGGCATGTTGCCTGTACAGAATATTGATGTCCCAAGGTCCCTTGGATCACCGTTTCCTTAAGACAAGGAGACGGGGGAAGTTAGGGCGAGCGCGATGATCCTATAGCAGCGGTAGCACCCTGCAGCTGAATGTTGTGTATATGTCGCACAGCATGTCTTCTTGTAAAACAATGTTGATTTGGACTTGAATCATGCATTTCTGCACAGTAGGATACACATATAGAAAAGGTCATTCAGCTTAGCCGACAGTTATTGGCTCCGTACGTGGTATGTCGCCATAACATCAAGTAATGAAACGTGCTCAATACATTTACCATAGCTGTGTTATTAGACGATAGAGTAGAACTTACATGCACAATTGAAAACATCTGGCACGGGAACAGAATACTCAGTCTATATAGTCTGATGTTGTGGTTAAAATGTTAATAATAGCTTGAATATTTTACAAGTTATTAGACTTACAGATGGAGAAAATTCGCTTAATGACATTAGTGTGAGGTCAAATGATTTAAAAACATGTCCCGTGGGGGTCTTGTGTTACGCAGTCATTTGTGTTTCATGATCAATATAGAAGCATGCGGAGTTGACTACAAGGTGTTCCATGCGCACAGGAAGAAGTAATCTATCAATGGCAATATTTTACACTCAAGTCATCATTAACCTAGTTAAACATAATGATCTGTTGAATATCTGTGAACATTATGCATATTTCTCTTTCACACGCGTGACTCAAACTCGATAATGCTACCGTCCTTGAAACGTTATGAGGAGACCGATACAACAACGATGCTATGAACAAAACAGTTTCACAGCATAGCCAGCGTGTGGAACATGTAAACACAGTCTCTCTCAAGGAGACGGAAGACGCTGTACACGTGGAGAAGGAGGATGTGACAGATCTCTACTTACCGATGTTTAGTGGAAGTCCTCACTTAGAATCTCCGAACACAGTGATCTCCACTCAAGGTTGTGTGTCTAGTAGACGTTGAAACACACACGAAACCTTCTTGAATGTGGTGCTAGGATCGGACTAGTGTAGCATCTGCTATAATTGGCTCGCGGTATCTCTAGCACACCGACTTTCGTTCGCCGCCGCATTGATCGACGGAGCACTACGGCCGTAACGTCATCGGTCCCTGAGTCAGTTTCACGCTCTTCACACCACCGACATGAACTCAGTCCCGATGCATGCTCTTACTTTCTCCTTAACAGAGAGGTTAGCAACCGCGTAGTGCAACAGAGGTTCTATTAAACACCAAATTGTTTAATTAACATCAACCGTGAACAATATACACTTCAATGTACAAATACCGACGATCGATGTGGAATGTCAAATGAGTTTCCGAAAATCAATAAAAATATTACTTATGGACCCATCTGAAAGTATACGAGGTATTGTATAATCGATTATGTGTTTGTGTGAATATGTCACATATGTGGTACCTGTTGGTTGGATGCTGTGGTCAGATGTATAATATGTCACCTGGATGACAATCATACTGATATGTGTCAGACGTTTGAGTCGTAACTCAAATTTATGTCCTAATGATGGATTGCACGCATAGGTAATATCAGTTCGTATGCTGTGAATTTCAGTGTTTGGTTCAAAATCAGCAGTTCATGAAATTGAACTTTTCAACTCATCTTGCAGTGTTTCATGGATGTGATTAAATATTGTACGTGTTAAAGATACATGATGTCCACACAAATCGTAGTATACAGCCGGATCGTAGCAAACTATATACGATAGTATCATCCATTGTACTCAAGTATTCGTTCCCATTATGACGCTGACAGGATTGATCTGAAAGCGTTTTAGAGTTGTGTTATTTAGGACAGTGGAACCAAAGGGCTTCCGCAAGAAAGGCCAAGGTCACTTATCATTAGGATCAATTAAGATTCACTTGTACATCAATCATTCAGCAATGAATTATATATTTGTATACTGATGTGGTATGAATTTATATAACTTGTAAAATGTTATAACCTATATCCTTGCTGATTGTTATTAATGGAGAAGGACATTTATCGTGGTTAATGATGCAAGGCCAATGAACGCTGAAAACTGGGTCGATTCGCTCATGTCCCAGATCGTGGACATGTACTACATTGAGTGGAGTGAGTGAGTTAAGATTTTAAGTCACATCGGCAATATTTCAGCCATATCGTGACTGTAAAAAAGTTGTGAATTCACCATAAATACATATAAATATTGAAAACCTGCCGACGAAGGACAGTAACATCAACTAGAATATCACAGTATCAAGGAATAAAAGTAGCAATTCTCTCTAAAATTGGATTTCAAATTAGGACAACACAGTATAAAAATGGGCTATAGATCGCCAACAACTGAAGGTAGATCACCATACTAGGGACCATTCGGGACTTACATTACTTTTGCTACCTGCATGGACCCTAATCGGATTTACATCATCCCTTCAGCTTTCAGCAATTTTTGACAATCTAGCCGTAAATTAAAAGAACATATATGCTACGATTAAAAGTAACAGTAGGTTTAAATCTACCTAGAATGCTTTGGGACTTACGTACACATTGAGTGGATGTGTATATTTACATGTGTATACTTACATGTGTATACTCACATGTAAGCCACAACACACGATCATGATTACAGTAATTTAGTTTAGGAACATTTTATTTAGGGACCGTTCATAATTTATGGCTAGTGGGGTGATGATGATTTTTATGGAGAAGCATGTACAATGTGAATGACCCCCCTAAAGAATTCATGTACAAAGTAAGTGTCCCCATGCGCTGTGCACAATCAATGCCCCCCCTAATTTCAAGCATATTTTTATGTACAAAATTAAATTGATGACCCCTACCTTCCCATAACATAATGGGTGACACCCCTTCCCCCTTAAAATCATCATCAACACCCCCAACCACCACCATCCCGGCCTTAAATTATGAATGGTCCCTAGGGCATGTTTTGGATGACAGTAATACTTGGTATGCAGCTGTTTTGTCGCTGGATCATTGAAATAAGCCCCAATTGTTGATGAAATGCAACAAGAATATAACATGCACCAGACACCCAACTATTCCTTCACTCTCGGAGTACCCATGAGACGTAATACATAACAGCGCTGCACTACAAGTATGCACACTTAATCTTCCCACCTCATTCAAAGCGTGTGTTTGGCTTCAGGTTACAGCTCTCTCGATACAGTTACGTGGGTGTTTTAGGCGAATAATGTCATATAAGACCGCGCGGACTTGTCCTGGGCTTAGAAAATACATAAATGGACATGTTTAATGTTGGTTAGTTGACTTGTGGTCCAACTGTATCTACGGAACTCGCCGGCTCACATTGATGCCGTCGTAGGCTGGTGCAGCTGTACATGATAAGTAGATGTCGTTGATAAGCCATCTCGTGGTGGTATCTAGAGTGGTTTCAAACAGATTTTCTCATGAGATATCAGAACTGTCATTTTTCATTTCGTTGTTGATAATTATAGCAATTAATTCTTGACGGGCAGGTTCTCTAATCATGCATTATTATCTTGATGATTTAATATTATTATATATGTCTAAGTGTCGTCAGATGCATAGTTATTTCTTATTCTTTCTTGTGAATATTCACTGTTTGTACGTTGTAACATTTCCCATTCAGTATTGGCTGTCAGTCTGTAATCAGGACATTTGAAAACACACACACACACGCACGCACACACACACACGCACGCACGCACACACACGCACGCACGCACGCACGCACGCACGCACACACACACACACACACACACACACACGCTGTCAATACCGTTTTACAACGATTAGCCGTTGTGCGATCATGTATATACATAACACACATACAACATACATCTTGTTTCACCAGTACAGTCGAACGCTGTTCTTTCAAACTTCGATATGTCCAACATATGGTTCCTCGCAGCTTGTACAGCACTTCTTATTCACTCTTTTTGTTCGGTTGTGATAACTTAATTTATCTACATACGTGCCGTCAATGTCGATACAACAAACATTAAAATATATAATAGCTACGTGTGATATTTAACATGCATACATGGTCACACACTTACTTGAATGTGGTAAATTTAGGTTTGTTTTTGTTTTTAACACTCCTCTACTCCCGAGAAGGCCTTATTATCTGGATAGAAACATAATCCCAGTGTTCTTTACCTGTAGCCCGCCATGTGCATGTTTATATCATTGTATTATATATTTCACATGTTAGCAATATCAAGTGTATCTGTTGAACAGATTGAAACTTTTAGGTGAAGTGTGACCGTGCCATCAGTTAACGCCAGACACTTATAGATGAATCTTAGACTGAATCTTACGTAGTGTCTGTTTGAACAAAGGGGCACAAATGATATGCAATCATGGTGGTACTAAATCTAAGCACACATATATTTGAAAGTACATAGACATCTATGTACATAATAAATATTCATATGTACACATGGCTTATCCAGCCTCGGAGACAGGTGACAAGCATACCTGATTTCGGTAATAATTTCAATTATGATTACGTTCAGACAGGTGACAAGCATTTCTGATGTTCAGGTTTCGTACGTACAGACATATGTCCAGCAGTAAATCATAAATGATATCAATATACTATTTAAATTCAAATGTTATGTACGTACATTAAACCCGTCTGTGCCAGTAGCGTTATGATGATAACAAGTCAGCTGTTGAGGTAACAGATATAATGATAACAAGTCAGCTGTTTGAGGCAAAAGAAATTCTTTGTCTTCTACAGCAACGACATGTATCAGAACCCACCCACAACCATGAAATATGAAAGTGTATGTTTACATCAGATTCAAGTTAATGATGTATGGTATTTCCATGTGGAGGTTCACAATACAATGCGTCCGCTAAGGTGAACTCTGCCCAATAGTTCCAGGGGTATCAAACATGGTACTGGAACCCAATACCCCAGCTCTTGTGATTATAAATTCATATGGTAAACGTTTATGACCGGCTCGCCTCCCACCAGTCAGCCACCGTGATGTATGCCAGAAAACCTGGCTGAAAGCATCGTCCAATTCCGGCCTATACCTTGTCATAGTGTTTTACACCAACATGCAGTGTGTTTGTTATAATAGTGTTTTACACCAACATGTAGTGTGCTTGTTATAATAGTGTTTTACACCAACATGTAGTGTGCTTGTTATAATAGTGTTTTACACCAACATGTAGTGTGCTTGTTATAATAGTGTTTTACACCAACATGTAGCGTGCTTGTTATAATAGTGTTTTACACCAACATGTAGTGTGCTTGTTATAATAGTGTTTTACACCAACATGTAGTGTGCTTGTTATAATAGTGTTTTACACCAACATGTAGTGTGCTTGTTATAATAGTGTTTTACACCAACATGTAGCGTGCTTGTTATAATAGTGTTTTACACCAACATGTAGTGTGCTTGTTATAATAGTGTTTTACACCAACATGTAGTGTGCTTGTTATAATAGTGTTTTGTTATAATAGTGTTTTACACCAACATGTAGTGTGCTTGTTATAATAGTGTTTTACACCAACATGTAGTGTGCTTGTTATAATAGTGTTTTACACCAACATGTAGTGTGCTTGTTATAATAGTGTTTTACACCAACATGTAGTGTGCTTGTTATAATAGTGTTTTACACCAACATGTAGTGTGCTTGTTATAATAGTGTTTTGCTTGTTATAATGAGTGTTTTACACCAACATGTAGTGTGCTTGTTATAATAGTGTTTTACCAACATGTAGTGTGCATGTTTTGCTTGTTATTTTACACCAACATGTAGTGTGCTTGTTATAATAATGTTTTTTTACACCAACATGTAGTGTGCTTGTTATAATAGTGTTTTACACCAACATGTAGTGTGCTTGTTATAATAGTGTTTTACACCAACATGTAGTGTGCTTGTTATAATAGTGTTTTTTGTACACCAAACATGTAGTGTGCTTGTTATAATAGTGTTTTACACCAACATGTAGTGTGCTTGTTATAATAGTGTTTTACACCAACATGTAGTGTGCTTGTTATAATAGTGTTTTACACCAACATGTAGTGTGCTTGTTATAATAGTGTTTTACACCAACATGTAGTGTGCTTGTTATAATAGTGTTTTACACCAACATGTAGTGTGCTTGTTATAATAGTGTTTTTAACTTATTACTGAAACTGTTGACTCTTCTACAGGAACTAATCTCAGAGCACAAAGGATTATTAACTGTCTAAAAAATACACTATTGTTGCCTGGAAAAACGTGAAGATTCTCCAAGCATGAGACGAGTGTTATCAGCCACGGGCTTGTAGTGGTGCGACTCGGACCGCCTTATATCGCTAAAATCCTTCAGTTCAAGGATACTTACGGAATGTACATCTCATTCAGTGAACGCATTTATGAGTTAAACACTTAAAGCCTATTCAGATGTGTTTATCTATAAATATTGTTCTGTATTGGAGTTTTCATAAGAATTAAGTCAATAACATGTCGGGAGACGCCTGACGTGAACATTACCGAAGATCCTGGAGGCCATGGAGATGCTTAGCTATGACTACTAGAGTTACGTCCCTTATGGAGAGTCAAACCAAGCCAAAGCGTCTGTATTGATGAGCGTTACGCACACTGACGTTCCTTTGCACGAATGCAAAATACCTGTTGGAAAATGTAACAAAATATGTCATGTTTAGGATCAGAGTTCTTAGTAAGGTACAGTGAAGTAAAAATCGTAAAACGTGTTTTTTCCTCATCCCGGACTAGAATCGCTCGTTTCTCAACCGATGCTTAGACATCAAACTTCAGGACAATCTATCAAGTCGTGAATATACAGAATGTAAGTAAAGCACAGAACAGTTTATTGTCTACAAAAGAACACCATATATTACAACAAAACAGTTGTACAAGCGTATAGTGTATGTATGATAAATTTATAGAATGTGCATTCAATAGAGATCAAGATGTCTACATTGTTAAGTAATTTAGCTACATTAACATAATATGTTAAACTGTTTAGTGAATCTGGACAGACTTCACTGATATATGCAAAATATAACAATTCGACGGGGTTAAAGGAATGGTGAAAACCGTCTACAACACAGGTGACTCGTGTACAGACATATTCTAAGCCAGTTTCATTTGGCAAAATATTATTTGACGCGTGAAATTTCATATTCCTAATATATGACTCTGGACAAAACTATTTGCATCAGTTAATCCAGTGATTGACCAAATGATAAGAGCTCCACACCGTCGGGTTTCGATGACACGAACGGAACACCTCTGGCAACCCAAACCACCAAGTCGTGTCCCGTACATGTCCAGCCATGTGTTTGGAAGAGTATGCCTGTATCTCGATAGTTTTGTTTGTTGTTTAACACGTGATTGGTGTTTAACGCTTGAGTAGTCCAACTTTGTGACGACAGTGACAACTGGGATACAATGACACCCATCAACAAGGTCTGTAGCCTGACCACCCGAACCTGCCTTACAAGTATGGACTGCTGAAGATCAATTCTAACGCACATGTCACAGGTATTTTTTAAACAGACATTTGAATATTCCTTTAAGAAGTACATACACGTGAGTGATTTGTGATTGACCATATTGTGGTATTCAGGTTTGTTCGTATGTCTCATCTGCTGTGCTGTTGAAGGTAACACGCGGTCGTACGCCAATGTTTTCGTAAATCTGACATTCAATAGGTTCGTATATATTTGTTTCGTCCGACCCAAGAGTCTGTATAGAACAGTATGGTTCACCCCCCAGGGTCTCTGTCGCGTAAGTTGAGATCAAGCTTGTCATACGTCGTATCTTCAGGCTGCTGTCCGTTGTCTTCAGTTTTAGTTGTCTTAGATTTATTATTTTTAAATGGTCCGGTGTTGTAGTAAACAACTTGGTCAGAGATCTCCGGTTGACCTCTGAAATAAACATCAACGTATAAACATCAAATAACTCTCTCAAACAATACTAACAGTTGATAAATGAGTACACCAGGTCAATTCATTCTTAATAAAAAAATCCGAGATATCTTGCTTTCTTTGTCACTGTTGTCTCAGGATCCCTCAACATGAGTTAGCTTGTTGGAAACAATATCAAATCAATGTCCATTCTTGAATGGGCACAGGCTAGTTTAGTGTTAACAGCAAAATACCCGTATAATTAAAATCTGATTTACTTATATTAAAGTATAATGCTGGTACATGTTTTAAATGGTTGTCAAGTAAATGCCCGAGTTGTAATACAAATGCCGATATTTCAAGTCGGTCAGTAATTAACTGAGCAGGCAGACATGCACAGCGAAGATGTATGGAACATGAAAGTAGACTCTACGATGTGACATCATCATTAGCAAAGTTATCCGGTCGTGATACCAAGTTCATCAAATTGGGTTTTCATATCGATAATGCTACGTGGACAGGACAAGGACTGCATGAAAATATTGTACCTTCGTTTCCTCTGCCAAACAACTACTCCAACGATGATGCCAGCAACTACAACCACAGCGGACGCAGTAACCGACAACACCAGTACAAGGTTTAGTTCCGAGAAATAGATTATCTGAAGCAAAATGCACTGATAATAACACCCTTATAAGGGAATATTTCATGAGCATATGACATTCATGCTGGCTTTTGCCAACTGTTCAAATGCAAATTATAATAATAGTAATAACAAAACAATTTGGACTAAATGACAAAGAAGTTTAAGTAGTCTGTCTGAGGAGACATTCGGATTTATCATGACGAGCAGAAAGTAGATCGGTTGCACCAGGCTGTTACTTGCACTGATGCTTATTCACAAACTTACAAGGCCAATTTTACACAGTCAGTGATTCAGACAGGAGTTCATACTTCTACTCTAGATGGTCAGAACCTACTTGTAGATATTTCCGTAAGACGGGGCATATAATGTCTTTTCAATGCTTTTGTGTGTGTCAAGTCACTGCTTGCAGACCGTCGTCTGTTGAAGGAAGGGTGTGTGTGTGTGTGTGTGTGTGTGTGTGTGTGTGTGTGTGTGTGTGTGTGTGTGTGTGTGTGTGTGTGTGTGTGTGTGTGTGTGTGTGTGTGTGTGTGTGTGTGTGTGTGTGTGTGTGAGTTAAAGGTGACAGTCCCACTATTATTTTGAGGGATACTTGCTCTCTTCAAATCTAGATTTTGGCTATTATTTTGACACCCTGTGAGGAGTCACCGGTCCATCTGAAGATTTGTTAATGGGTTTTTGTCTTTGCACCCGCACACCTCTTGCAGACTTTGCCGACTAACATAGTGGCTGTGTCCGCTTAGGTGGGATTTTGTAAAAGCGCTCCCAGTGAAAGGTGAGAAAGTGCTTATTTGGAGTGATTTAGCAGGGGCAAACCTTTTGTTTGCCACAGCCTAGCACTTCGAAAAGTACCGCTCGCACGTTCATGGATCATTCTCTGGAGCTGTCGGAAATTTCGAGGGAGAAACATTGACAATTTGGGGGTTGAGGATACACTCCTGAGCAGAGAGCAGTTGGTTAAGTTACAGGGAGAAGATCCAGAATTCAAAATTCTTTCTAATATGCCCCTCTCTTTAGAAGAAGCTATCATTTTAGGAATAACGTTTAGATGAGGTAATAGACGGCACCAGATGTACCTGCTGAAAATGAATGGTTGTTTTTTTGGGTGTGAACAAACCCTGTGACATAAATTTATCCCATTTATTTTGTACTACTTTGCGGCATGATGTGGCTGAATTGTGCAAAATATTCCATGTATGTGAAATGGTTGGCAAACCAAATCATAAAATGTCAGCCACACCATTGAAACCTATTCCAAATTTTGAAGAAAATTCAAGATTGTCGGTACTTTATGAACAATGATTGATTGTGAAAGATTCCCAGGACAAGAATACGGACAATGGCTGATTGTGCTGGCCCTTTGTCTAATCCTTTGTCAGGCAATCAGTACATGCTTAGTATTACTTAGTTTCCCTAAAACTATTCATACAGGTCATGACTCCAATTCAGGAATTCAGGTGCACTTAAGCACACTCCATCTACATTTTGTGCATATCATCCTGAGTCTGGACTTTGTTTGACAATGATTCATCATTTCAGACAAAGCTTTCGAAAACTTGTGAAGCTTGTGGGATATTTTGAAAGAATCCTAGGACATTATGACAAGTTATGTCAAGAGACAAATATCAGTTCTGGCGATAACATACTAGTGTAATTTTCCAATCCCCGATCAACCATGATAAACTAGCTGTGGACCATGGGCCATATGTTATTGGTAAAAAAGTTAGTGATACTGACCAGGTCATGGTAAAAACTGTGTCATGCCAATATGAATAGAAAGGATCATGAAAGAAATAACAGCGTGTAGCCACTGGTGATATATCAGATGATGAATGATATTGTGATACTGATGAAAGACTTTGTATTATTGACTACGCTAGCCACAAGCTATGCAACTCTGAAATTTTAGCTTTGATGGTCAACCTAGTTGTTAAGCCAGGTTATTTGCCAGGTTTAATTCAAGATTACAGGTTTACATGAATGGACAGATTAAGTCTGCATGATATAGATGTAGGTGACACTGTGCTATGAAACAACATCCCTTCCTGATGGTTCAATACATGCTGGACTTTTGCATTACTGAAGCAAGCCAAAGTGACCGGTGCTCATCTTGTATTCTTGTGTCAAAGCCGGAGGGAAGGTACATATTACCAACTGATATGAAATGTGTGAACACTGTTTCTCTTACCAAATACAAAGAATTTATGATTGCGGCATCAAAATTGGCTAAGCCAACTACATTAGCAAGTTTGACTTAATGAAAGGGTATTGGCAGATGCCACTGACAGAGTGTGCCAAGCGTGTTACAACTTTTGTGACTCCAGATGGACGTCATCAATACCATGTAATGCCATGTCCACTCCAGCTACCTTCCAACGTCTCATAATTGACATTACCGTCAATCTCGTGAGAGTTGGCCCCTACTCCTTTAACACAATCACTCATTCCATGGTTTCTCTGTGGGTTAAGTGGTACTGTAGGCTTCATATTCGGTAGTTCAGCTCTGTGACATGAGTGTTGCTATATACAAACAAATCAATTCGTAAAGGAATTTAGCCATGTATACCTTTACTTCCTGTTTAGTTTTGAGTTTAGCATGATTTGTAGCTGAGACTTCAAACCAGTAATCCTTTCCTTCAGTCAACTTGACGTCCCTTACGTCTGCCAGGGCTGGTTTCACTTGGTAGTTGGAATGATAACATGTGCCAGCTGGAGTACAATAACAGTTATCATCCCTTGCATCGTGCATGGTGTAGCATTCTTCCAGAGTCTGAAATCATCATTCATTAATATACACATGTAATATCAGTACAGCAAATACTTCGCATTGAAACTGATTTGTTCAAAATCAGAAAGCCGAAAATTCCAATGGGTGAGATGCATGGTTAGTTCTGTTAGTTTCTGACGACATTGTACCATTGGCAGCCTAAACCTTGGACACCACCAGACAACAATGACATACTACATATCCTTGAACCGAGATGTCATGGACAGCTAGAGCAATGTCTTCATCTTGCCGTTTTTCCAGGATTCTCCATTCCAACGTTCCCACTCCACTGTGCTCATCGTGCACATCAAGCTCCATTCTAGAGACAGATAAACATATGCTTAATTTTTCAAATTTATTTTCGGATTTATGTTTGGGAAAAAAAACATTCCATAATTTTATATTATGACATATTTCACTTCACACAATTTTCAAGCATTCAGCATAAAATCGGGTGTAACTGTTTTGGAAGAATAAGATGAAAAACTGGATTACGTAATGGCACATCGGCAAAACTACTTTTAACATTCTCACATTACGTCATGTGACGTTTGAAAGATGAAGATAAAAAAACCCACTGAATTGCCAAATGGCAAAACCACAATAAACGTTCTTACATTACATCCTGAAGTTCCTCCACCCGATGTATACTGATATTGAGACTGCCGCTTCTGTTTAGCCAAAGGTTCTCTATGACTGGAGGTGATGTGTCGATGTGGACTGTCACATGTTCTTCAAGGAATTCGCGTCTGATGTCATAGGCTCGCACCCAGAAGCGTACAGTGTCCCCGTCCACTAGTGAGGGTGTTATGGTCTGTGACTGATTCAGACCTTGACTGGTGAAAAGGTTATCAGGTGGTGGACTGGTGATGGACGACCCTCCTTGGTGGTCAACTTTGTATGACGTCAAGAATCGTGTTATACCTGTTGAATATTAAGGACATCCTCTTTTATCAGAGAAGAAGAAACAGCTGTGATCTCAGTGTTAAACGTTGACAAAGTAAAAGAATATTCTTCCCTCCACTTACCATTATTAGAGTCTTCGTTGAATTAGGGTGTATGCACAAATGAATGGTTAAAATATGGTATGGTTGATGAGTGACGTGTCGTTAGATGAAAGAATGTATTTCTGTTGTTAAGAAAAACCTTTTGAAGTGTGCCTACCCTGAACATTACTGATGGCAGCCACACTTCTGTCACCCTCGTTATCGTCATAGTCCGAGCTGATGTCACCAACAGAAGCCACGCCGTGGAGCCACTTGTTGTTGTAGTGGACTGTGTTGATGTATCTGTTGGTCCAGTCTACTGTCACTGATGATGACGTAGTTTGCCAATCTGATGTTGCTGATGATGCTGTTGTCACACTGAGGGATGTATTTGCTTGTGTTGTTACAGTCGAAGTACCATCATATATCAATATTCTTCTAGTACTTTTGTGATTACCTCCCTTGTCATAGGCAGATAGGACAACCGAGTACACGCCCGCCGTAGTCAGTGTGTAGCTGTTGGACGTCTGAAACATGTACATATGTCAACAATACATAGATCTGTTGAACAGGTGCCCACCGGTCCAAATGTCAGGTGAATTAATGTCGGTTGAACTAAGCTCGTTGCACGTAATGCATTTTTCACTTGAATCAGCTAGATGATGATTTATACAACCTACTATCACACAAACATTTTGCTGCTACTATAAAACTGCAATAAATCATCAACGTAACATATCATATATTTCTGTTTATACTTTCTGGGCGAAGTACAGATGCTGGTATTTTCTGTACACACATTCAGTGATCTCCCTCAAAAATGGAAATCTGAAAAGAGGTATTCCACATACGAACTTTTTGTACCCCACTGACAAGTGTAAAGTAGAGATTAGGTGCATGACTTGGAGAGTGTGAGGTTCGAAACCCGGATGGGACTCAAACCTCCCAAGTAGTAGAATCTGAGAAATCCCACAAATAATACATGTGTTACATATCGCCGCTTTCTAAATGACATTTTGTTGATTCATAATTACATATGATGAGAGTTGTTTTAAATATTGGATCTACAATAATGGCTCCCTCACCGTTGAGCTAGTCAACGTTGTACTGTCAATATGTTTATCTCTGAGTACATCCCCAACAGCGTGGAGTTCATACACGTCCCTCACAAAGTGGTCGACTCCTGCATCAGCATCTGACCAGCCACTCCAGCGGAGATTCACTGTGGACTGAAACAATTCATGGAATCATTCTTCCTGTCTACCATCAACATCGGGTGTAAAACATAACTGTGGTCATATACTTACAGTCTTGATAACATCGGGAACAGTCAGCATGCTGCCAACACAGGCAGTAGTACCAGTACAGTGATAGGGATCCACCAGGTCTATGGACACAGTATAGACGTGGGTCTGTGTGGCACCGTTATAGTAGTAGGTCGCTAGTGTGTTACTCTCCTTGTTCCGGACCTTAACATACCCTCCATTACTTGTTGAATAAGTGAATTCGATACTGAAAAAATGTTCAAATTTGGCAATCATAATGATGATGAAAGTTATATTAAGTTCCATAACTTATATTGAAAGCTCTGTAGGTTACTAATCTTCAACGGTTAAAGAACATAAATAGTTTTAAAGGTGGCCACTTCAATATTTCGTCATCAACTATGTATTAATTATGCATGGAATTGATCAACGTAACCCAGTATAATTCTCATTTAATTACTCTTTAATTTTACTCTTAGAAGTTTGTATGACATCCAGATTCTAAATTTGATGATGAAAGGTGAAATTTAAAATAACACCTTGTGTCTGTAGCAAACCTGAGAGGATCCTGGGGTAAAAATTCAGGCTCATAATAGCATTAGCAACAAAACCCCACAACAACATCGTGGTAGAAAAGGTGTATTTAAATTCACTGAAACAAAAAAAGCTATAGAATCAAATCGTGTCAAACAGATTCATCTCCCCAGAACTTACACATCTCTGTGATGGAAGGGTAGAGGTAGTACAGACGTCCCTGATGGGTTTCCTTCACATGTGTACAGGTCTGTGTCCGGGCTGCTTCGACTGACTCCTCCACAGTTATAGACCTTAGTGGAGACAACACCTGCACCTTGGTACAGCAACACAGTCAGGTGAGTGAGCATGGTTTTTAGAGGGATTATGAAACAAGAAGCACTAGTGCATCAGTTGGATGATTCATGATATGCTGTCCTTTTACAGTGATTCAAACACATGTGATAGTCGGTGCTTTCTAATGGATGTGGAAGGGTGTTGTCGCTTGTATTTACATACAGTATTGAGAAATCAAGCACCGGATAGTTTATGTCTTTGTACAGTCAGATGAACGATATTATACCAAACTCGTTAGAAAATCTGTTCCAACTTTGAATGCATACAGAATATGTTATATATGCATATTGTGACCTCTTGTATCCCACACACCTCTCTTTAGTTTGAATGTAGCAGCACCACTGACAATTCCCACACGGAAACCTTCAATGAAGGCATGTCTGGGTGGAGGTACCATTCTGTATTCTGCCGTAAACCTGTAGTACATTCTGGATGGAGAGTTGATGTTTGACCAACAGGTGGACTGAGATGGACCACTGTTGATGTTGGGAGGTGCCTCTGCCGTGTCGCCGTTGCTGGCGGTCAGTCTTAGGATGTTGAAGTTTATTGCGGGCTTCGCAGTTACTGTAACATTCATCTACAAATATACGAACATCTTTCCTCGTCTATGACTGAAATACTAAGCGTTAATTAAAAAGATTTATATTTTCGTTGATACTTCTAGGTAACACTCAAAGTACATATTCATCTCGTAGACATTTGACAAAGGTAGAGATACAATGCGACTACCTGAATATGAAATGTGAACGCTAGTGAAACAGATTCAAAGAATCCAGAATCAAAATTGGGTGAATAAATCTTTGAAAACCAATTATGTCACCAGGTGTGAAATTCATACCTAAACTAAGTTTTTTCATCTACTTTTTGAAACTCTAATACAGCTAAGTCTGAGAAAAGAGTTGATACTTATAAAACTGCTAATTATCTTTGCTTGGGTTGGCAAAACCAAAACAAGGTAATTTGCCCAAGAAGTTTAATTTAAAAGCTTCCGGTACATCGATGATTCAATAACCATTAAATCGCCAATTGCCTTCCACTGATTTACCCACCTGAACTTGAAATTAAGGACACGAGTGAGACCGCCTCAATTGTTATTTAGATCTATTCATAAAGAATCAGAATGCAAAAAAAACAAAACAACTCTCCACAAGACTGTATGACAAAAGGGATGATTTCAACTGCCAATAGTCAACTTCCCTTTTATGTCGAGCACTAACCCAACAGTTCCAGCGCGTGTGCCCTCCCTAGCATGTATAATGAGTAAGATCGGTAAATCATTTAGGTAATTACAAGGGACACCTCTCTAAGCTGCTGATCACAATTAGCAACTTCCCACGAAAGTACACGTACCTGTTGTAGATTGTGGTCTCAGGAAATAGGTTAGTAGCTACGAACCTAATAGAATTTCAATGTCGACGGTATCGCCGAAATAATTCCTTCGTTGTATCCATATAATTTTCAGCGGTTTGACAGCCATTTTGTTCAATGACTTTAGACAAACACTTTGTATTTGAGTTTACTACAACCAAAACTTAAGATGTGTTGACAGAAATTGAAAAAACATGCATGTTGCTTAACGAGTATATATAAGAGGAATCTAACAAGTTTAGTCAGAAAAGGTAAAGAAATTGTTTTCTCAAGACTTCAGTATTATTTTCAAACCTCATTTCTTTTGTAAATATCGACGTTTCTTCACGAAAATTTTAAGCATGCCCTTCGGCCTCGGGCAGCACCCACCATTAACTCACTTTGCTCACAAAAGAAAGTATTTGTTTATAGTTTGTTGTTGCTTGTAATGCAATAATGCGTCAACTCACTTGTCTGACAATGTTTCCCTGTGAAGCCGCTAGAGCAGGCACAGTTACTGGCGTACTCGTTCCTGCAGGTCCCGGGATAACACCGGGTGCTGTCACTCCGCCACGAACACGCCTCTGTAGAAGAAAATGTACGATCTAGGATTGATTACAGTTACACATCCAGTCACATAAACTGACATGAATAAAGATTTTGATGTCTTCTGGAAACTAATTACACAATGCTATGATGCTTTTCACTAGGTGCATTGTCCATACTTAGTCTGTTTTCTGATTATATGTTTGTGGATCGGAGGCCTTGAGAACAAACAATAAACCATCTTAATCTTGAATGTGTTTTCTTTTGTGAAATGTCGACAAGGCATGTTTTCCTTCCTCTACTTGATCTGTTGTCAGAAGAAACTACATAAACATTGACTGTGTACAGCTGTTAGTTCCATATTCCTCACTTGACTGGAAATGATTTTCTTAATGAACAGAATATTTGGTTAGGTTTAGTTGTTTAACGCCGCAATATTCCAGCTAAATAATCGAGTCTGGACAAGACAATCCAGTGATCAACAGCATGAACATCGCTCCACGCAGCTTGGATACGTTGACATGTGTCAACCAAGTCAGCCAGCCTGACCACCCGATCCTTCTAGTTGCCTTTTACGACAAGCATGGGTTACTGAAGACCAGTTCTAACCCAGATCTTCGCGGGTGAAGACTAGAAGAACGTCTCCATGATTTGTGACATAGACATTGAATCAATGACAGATTTATGGATAACAACTCTAAAATAGTCCACAGAGGCACTGTAGCAACTCTTCCACCTTCCTCCAAACGACCTAAACCAGATCTGGCCCCCCCTCAAAAAGTCCCTACATTAGTAAAAAATCACATCAACTCAGCAGACTCCTGAGACAGCAAGCAGACATATATACTACCTTCTCACCATTATTCAATCTCTGCAACCATGCTGATGGAAGAAAATCACTAACTGCCACAAACCGAAATGTGCTTTTATACACTTACTGCAATTGTGGAAAGAGCTACATAGGCGAAACATCCCGAACCATCAACACCCGAGAACATCCTACTTCCGTTGCCAATTTCGGCAGCAAATTTGAAATCTCTGATTACATCAAAACAAACCGAAATCACTAAATATACAGGACTGACGTCCCCATTCTTGCAGACGATCAAACTGATTTCAGTAAACGCAAACTCATCTAAGCCATTCACATGAACTGCCAAAAGCCCGCCATCAACAGAGATCAAAGATGTTTCATTCCTCCGGCCTGTGATGGACTCCCCAGACAAGCCCTTTCAACTGTGTGACCTCTTTTCCTTTCTAAAGTATCATTTTATTCCATCTCTATAGTCCATTTGGTCATTCGTTGGCTTTATCAACAAACAGTATTTTAAATTATGTTGTTTTATTTGTTACACCCAGGATATATATCCCCTGCTGCATGCCTGCTCGACGACGTTAGAAGAATCTGTACCGTTGCAATTACAGAATATACGTGTTATCCATATACTGGTCATTAATCATTAGTGTACTTCCAAACTTCGAAAATACCACTCAAACAAGTCATTGACATATGAATCAACATCCCAGAGTAATATGTTAAAATTCAAGGCTGTTTGTACGAGTTCCATAGCTTGATATATTGGAAATGAGCAGCACTCACAATGTATCAACAGAAGGACCCTATTTGCAATTGGCTCTCTAATAATGGTTTCCAAATGCTATTGTGTTATACTGAACATATTATTGACTCGATATTCAACTCACGTATGCATGATCTGTTACCAAAAGACGCCACATATGCCCTGTGTCCTGCCTGGTCCAGCACGACCCCCTCACAGCGACTACACAACTGGTTGCTGCTGCTGGTGCATGTTTCGAGAGGACAGTTACTGATGGCACCGCACACTGGAGACAAAACAGCTAACAGTTGTTGTATGCTGAGTAGACAAGTGAAAAGATGATGTGACATTTCTTCGTTTTTGTAAAACGGTACACAAGAACATATCTACTCACACACATATACGAAAGTGACCGAAAGGTCCTGAATGAAATAAAATAAATGAAAGTAAACCTATGTACACGTACTTCTGCATCGTTCTCTGCTGGGGTAAAAGCCTTCATTACATTCGGCACAGATCCCAGGGGAAGTACACTTGCCCCCACTCTTGTACTGTGTCGTGCCGTTACTGTAGACGATGTGAGATGACCTGTAGTCGATGTTGCAAGCAGCGGACAGGATCTGATTGTCACATTTAGCTGCAAGGTGTAAATGGTGTTTCATCATTACATCATTATGATTGAAGATGTTCATGTAAAATCAAAAGAAATAGCAGTATTATGTGCGTACGGTAATAAGTGGGACTAGAAGAATCAATGCCAAAGCATGTTTTTTCATGATATTGCATTAGTGAGCCTAAGCTGAATCGTTTGTACATGAAAATCAACAGATGACCAGTCTAACTTGTTGCTATTAAGTTATATAGATGGTCAGATCATAATGACAACCATTGTAGTGAGGTTTACTCAACCCAAGTAGCACAATTCACGTACGATGTGGGCAGCCTTTGTTATCTGTTGTTCTGTACCCTGGTTTGCATCTGAGACTCTTCTTTGACAGCTGCCTGTTCGAAAAAGTCAGAAATCATGTTAATACTTCTTATTATCGTCAGTATGGAAAGTTGTATAAAAAATGTCCAAACAAGCATATTAAATGGTACAAAGATGAAACTAGCAAATATGTTAAGAAACTAATATAAATATTCTCCCAAGCAATTCTGGAAATCCCATAACACACAAAAAAGGTCAAAACAAGTTTCATACTCCTAGTTTGAATGAATTTCATGACTTCTTCCAAAAAACAAAATTAACGAGAAGTGTCACCACGATGTAAATGACATTAATGACTTTACATTACCTTGTGATAATTCTCTGTTGAATAACGATATCACTGCGGAAGACATAGCCTCAAAGATAAATAGACTAAATCGTAAGAAATCAGCAGGTATAGACCAGATTAATTGACACTTTTGACATTCTATGTGACTTTTATGTTTCGTATTTTAATTTGATCTTTTCATCTGGCATTATGCCCGAAGCCTGGTCAAATGGGGTCATTCGGCCTATATATAAGAGAATGGGTAACCCTTCTGATCCGAACTCATACCGGCCATTTACCATTGTTAGCTGTTTCGCGAAACTGTTTACCAGTATTTTGAATGTTCGACAATAGGTATCTGGAAATGAATAAGATTTTAAGCGCTGCTCAAGCAGGTTTCAGAAAGAAAATGTCAACTCTAGATAACTTTCTCACATATGTTAACTCAAATTTTCAAGACATCGAGAAGAAATTACACTGTGCAATTATTGATTTTTCTAAAGCTTTTGATAACGTTTGGAAAACGGTATTTTGAAAAAAATGTGAACAAATAATATAGCTGGAATTTTTTTGAAGTTAGTTAAAAATATGTACAGTAACATCAAATCATGTCTAATGGTTAATAACCAAAATTCTATTTTTTTAGTCACTCTAGGGTTCGGCAAGGGGAAAGCTTATCACCATTACTCTTTTCATTATTTCTCAATGATCTAGACTTATACCTAGGAACCCGTGAAGATTCGGGTTAGAATTGATCTTCAGTAACCCATGCTTGTAGTAAGAGACGGGATCAGGTGGTCAGGCTCGTTGACTTGGTTGACACATGTAATCGTGTCCCAATTGCGTAGATCGATGTTCTTGCTGTTGATCTCTGGATTGTCTGGTCCAGACTTTATTATTTACAGACCGCCGCCATATAGCTGGAATATTGCTGAGTGCGGCGTAAACTAAACTCACTCACTCATGTATACCTAGGAGATACCTAGGGGTTGCAAAGGGATACATTTTAATTGTGCAGATGATGATTATGTATTGATGTGTATCAAAATGTTTGGTTTATTGTATGCCGATGATGCTATCCTCCTAGGAGACAGTGCGAAATATTTGCAACTCCCGTTGGATGTATTTAAAGATTATTGTGATTGCTGGAAACTTACGGTAAGCACAATAAACTAAAATAATTTCTGGCGGAGGTTCTTGAACACAATGTTCAAAACTATATTTTCGATTTGGTTCGCAACCTATTGAAACTGTTGATATGTATACCTAGGCATTAATTTTCATAAAAAAACAGTAGACCTAATTGTGCAATTAATGATCTATTATCAAATTCTAAAATAGCAATGTTTGCGCTCTTAAAGAAATCTCGTAATTTAAACCTAGCTCTAGATCCTCTTTTAGACTCTTCGATGTTTTGGTTTTACCAATTGTTTTATACGGGTCCGAAATTTGGGGACACGAAAATATTAATAATTTTGAAAAGATCCACTTAAAATTGTTAAAACTGGCAGCTGGGCTCAGTCAATGTACCACTAATTTCATGGTCTACGGGGAGTTAGGAAGAGTTCCAGTTAATATCACTATTGCTAAGAAAATGATTGCTTTCTGGTATGGCCTAGAAGCTGTTTCTTATCCAGTTAAGTAATCCTCAGGGTTGCATCAACTTACAACGTTTGATAACACCCCCAAACAAATATGTGTGGTTAAGTCACATTGAGAGTATTTAAAATAACTCTAATTTAACCTATATTTTCAAAAACCCTAGTTCCGTGTCAAGACATTGGCTGGTCTCTGTAGTAGAATTTCCACTGAAAGATCAATTCATACAAAAGTAGAATGTACAGTGTACAGTAGCTCTAAAGGCACTTATTATAAACTATTAAAGGATAACTTTCGAACCATATATGCTTTTCCCAAAACATATCTCAAACCTAATAAAGTGGTTTACAACCTCTAATCATTATTTACCAGTAGAGACCGGTCGCTACCAAAGACAGTTAAGAAAATGCCATCTATGTAACTCCCCAAAGATAGCGACGAGTTTCATGATCTGTTTAAATGTTCGTATTTCGATAAGTGGTCACATGTTAGCTATTGAATATTCATACTGTAAAATCTTCCTGTACCACCGATGTGAAATGTTGGAATAAAGACATTGAAATTGAAATTATAGATGAATGCGCTGACTACTGTCACCATATGTAGGTGCAACTTGTTTTTTATGCAGTGGGTTTTCAGCCTTAAAGAACAGTGTCTATAGCATATGCTTTGATATTTCTGATGAGTAACTGCTTCAACTATATTTTGGTTACTTCAGTTCTGTCAAATGATTTGCCTTTGTACAAAGCGGTGCCGTGACCGTTCGATTGATGTTTGCTCTGAAATCATATAACAGGACTAACTAGTACCATCTGGATGATGTGGTAAGTAGTATACTTATGAAAATATATTGCAGATAAGAACAACAACAATAACTGAAGGTGTTTACCGGTATCTTGAGCATTGACTCCAAAACAAAAAACCGCACTTCGTTGTGTACTTTGATGCCCTGTAGGTTGTTATCGACTCTACATTGAGTGTGTGTGTGTGTGAGAGAGAGAGAGAGAGAGAGAGAGAGAGAGAGAGAGAGAGAGAGAGAGAGAGAGAGAGAGAGAGAGAGAGAGAGAGAGAGAGAGAGAGAGAGAGAGAGAGAGAGAGAGAGAGAGAGAGAGAGAGAGAGAGAGTAAAGAGTGAAGGAGACCGAGAGCGATAGAGATTTACTTTTCATATATTTTACCATTCCTGATTGAATATATTCAGACCTGGTTTTCTACGAGCACAGCCACAGCTTCTTGCCAGCGGAGTACAGACATGTAGGACTCATTGGTAAACAGGAATGAAAATCTGCTCGTTTTATGTTCCAATATGATAAACTGGTTTGTAAAAATGCATAACAAATACTGTTTTCACAGTACCGAATTGTCATTTGCCATACTAATGAGTTTCTCTGCGATATAAGGTATAGTTATGATGTGCTGTTTTTGAGGCAATATCAGTCGGAACAGCGACTGTTACTTTCATGACATGTTATGTGAACAAGGGTCGTTCAAAAAGTAGTCAGCCTAACTATATTCTCGATGTCCGATGTTTGAAGGAATGATTATCAAAGCCACATCCAAAAATTCACATATGTGGGTAATGTGGTTAACGATATATTAGTCATCACAATACATTGATGTGTAAATAATTGCAGAAAATGAAAAACGATCTGTCAGTTGGTACCCCTTGGATAATGATATGCCCAAAGTTTTGCGTCACATTGGCAATATTTCAGCCTTATCGTGATTAAAAACAAGTTATAATTTCATAAGAAATCATGGTAAATTATAGAAATTATAGAAAGGAAGGAAGCTGGCGGAAAGGAGATACATTTTCAAGGTCGATATGAGCAGCAGAAATAAAAAGGTTTAATTCTTATTCCTAACGGCAGAATCAAAGAAGACTTCTTACTGAACAGATCCTCATCAATGGGATCAAAAACGCAGCTGAAGGCAGGGTTGGACACATTTGAATGAGACCTTAATGGTGGACAGAATCTAAAAGTGTAAGGTTGCTTTTGCAGGCTCCACTATAAACGACCGAACCATAATCGAGTTTAGAAAGGATTAGTGCTCTATGCAAGTGAAGGAGGGTCGACTGATCACCTCCCCACTTAGCATTGGAGACGACTTTTAAGAGATCTAATCCCTCCAGGCATTTTGCCCTAAGGTATTTGACATGAGGTAGAAATGTAAGATGATGGTCAAATTTGATACCCAAAATTTAGCTTCCTTAACTACTTTAGTGGGAGTACCCGATAGATGTAAGTCTGGGTCCTTATGTGGTTTATATTTACGACAGAAAAGGATGCAGTTAGTTTTAGATCAAGAAAACTTAAAGCCATTTCGTTCGGACCAATCATTTATTTTGTTGAGACAGAGCTGCAACTGGCTCTTAATCGTGTGCATAGTTTTACCTCGACATGATATGTTAAAATCATCGGCAAATAATGACCCATCAACAGAGTCATTTAACACTTTTGATAAACTATATATTTTGATACTGAACAACGTTACAGATAATATGCTACCTTGTGGGACACCTTGATTTTGTTTGTAAAATTCAGACAATGTGGAACCCACACGCACCTGGAAATGTCTATCTGTTAAAAACTGTCATATGAAATTAGGCAAACGGCCTCTCAGTCCCATTTCATGAAGATTTTTCAAAATTCCATGTTTCCAGATTGTATCATATGCTTTTTCGAGATAAAAATATAGATACAGCGTGTTGTATATTGACGATAGCATTCTTAACAAACGTTTCTAATCTAACTAAATGGTTAAAGGTACTTCTGTTTTTCCTGAACCTACACTGGATATTCGTAATAAGATTATATGTTTCTAAGTACCATATTAGTCTGTTATTGACCATTCCTTCCATGGTCTTACTAACACAACTAGTAAGTTGATCAAAAATATTTAACAGGGTCTCAAAAGAGGAATCAGGTAAATGTTTAAGTAACTGATAATAAATACTATAAGCGCCTGTACCAGTGAAATGAGCTTGCCCTAAGGCAGAATGTAGTTTATGAATGGAGAAAACCTCATTGTAGTCCTCACCATTATCATAAGTAAACTTGATTTAAATATTTTCAGCTTGTTGTTTAAATTTTTGAAATTTTGGTGTATAATTTGATGAGGAGAAATGCTGACCTAAAGATTCTCCTAATTTATTGGCTATGTCAGATTCATCAGTTAGCAACGTGTTCCCATTCTTAAGATGATAAACACCAGATGTTGGTCGTTTACCCTCTATCCTTTGCCCCATATTCCAGATTTTGGACATAGGTGAATTAACGAAAATATGATAGCTCTATTTTTTTATTTTTAAACCTCACGCTACGCGTTCGTGTTTAAATCAAAATTAGAGCTATTTATAATTTGGTTTAAACATATTCAAAAGAGGAACCGGATTGGTAAACAAGCAGTATGCTGCATATCTGAATACCGCTCCGGTAATTTCGATTTTCCAACACAGTATGCTTATCTCCTAATTAATCCACCAGATTGGTCCATGAGCCACCGCCTTCTGGGCATAAAACTCTAGGCAATTTACAAAATGACAGTTCTAATTTGAATTTCTAAGGAAACATCATTAAGCCAAGACATTGACAGTAACATTTAAGAATATAATATATTTGCGCAGCACAATATACATGCACAGGGCGTGGCATGACCAGCCGATTGATGTAATCGGACCCATTCTACCACCAATCTAGGTGAAGTAAGGGGCGAAGTGGTGTGTTGAGCAAAGGAACGCTGTTCCTGGAACCAGTGCCCTCAACCTCCAGACCCCCGTCCTTCACCGACACAGGCGCCCAGCCCACGGCAAACAGGTTGCCCAATTCGGTCTTACGACCAGCAATGGGGTGCTGTGGACCTATATGCCCCCGGGTCCACAGAGGGGTGAAGAGCTATTAGCGTTACCCAGCACCGACCACGAGGAGGTTGCTCTTTAAGGGTGCCGGTGTATGCCCTCATAATATCATATAAAACAAGTTCAGTACAGTATTGTATGACATCCCGTCATAATCAACATTCAAAGATTTGGATTGCTTGATTTATGTTTAGACGGGGGCTGTTTTTAAGGACACCCCCATTTTCATCTTTCCAAAACATTGTGTCTAGAAACATTGTATTCAAACTGGCACTGTCCCAACACTCGAGAATACAGAAATTAAACTGTCTATCTGGCGATGATGGGATAAGTGAGTGAGTTAAGATTTACAGCCACATCGGCAATATTTCAGCTAAAACACGTTTAGCATTCACCATATAAACATGTAAATTATAAAAACTGTCATCGAAGGACAGTAAAACCAACTAGAATATCACAGTATCAAGAAATACAACTAGCATCTCTCTCTAAAATTGGATTTCAAACAAGTGTAGAAGTAAGCACAGCTCACATATCCCCGCTTCCCACTTTGGGACATGGAAATGACTGATATTGATATATATATATAATGTGACAAGGATCATCAGCTCACAAGACTTTCTCTTGACTCTACTAAACTTTATATACATGTTAGATAATAGTTTTGCCATGTACTGATTACAGTAACAATTTATAGAAACATTATTTTTTGTGTTTTCCGTGGAAACCTGACATACAACTGAACTTTACCGTCTCATGTTGCACACAATGAAGTGGACATAGATGAAGAATGTCACTGACTCATGTTGCACACAATAAAGTGGACGTTGGTGAAGAATGTTACTGATTCTCATGTTGCACACATTTAAAATTTAAAATAGCAAAAGGCACATCAATGGGTAATGATTAACATGTGTGTGAAGTTTGGTGAACCTAGCATGTAAACTTTAAGAGATATGCTCCGGACAAAACCATCAAACACATTTGGCACTAAGTCGTGATTCCATGGAAACAGCAAAAAAACTTAACTCTAAAAAAAATTCGAAATAGCAAAAGGCACATCAATGGGTAATGATTAATATGTGTGTGAAGTTTGGTGAACCTAGCATGTAAACTTTAAGAGATATGCTCCGGACAAAGTTTCGGGACGGACGGACGGACGGACGGACAGAATGAACGCTATATACACCCGTTACTTCTTAGCGGGGGTATAATTAGGACAACACAGGATAAAAATGGGCTATAGATCGCCAACAACTGAAGGTAGATCACCATGATGATGGGATAAGACTTATGAAGGTGTGACAGATATATAACATTCCTTACATTGACCACCTTCTCTGAAGTCAGTATGTATTCACAAAATGTTCACGTCTTGTTATGTCATGTTGTTTCTTTGGAAACTGATCATGAATACTACTACTACCACTTGAACAGAAACAGCAGGGTCTGGGTTTTTTTGGACTTTATGCTGATTTGAAACTGGTACAACAAACAATGAAACAATGCGTTACACTAAAGATTTGTTTAGGATTACAGATCCAGATCACCTGAACTCTAGATAGGTTGCAAGCGTTGATAACTATCAGAAATGAATACAATGCGCAATACATGAGATACACAGCAACCATTTGTGTCCGTATCAAGCGTGAAAACAATATCCAGATAAATTCGCATGACTGTGGAGGAAATGCCTCTGTTCACCCAGCAGAAAATGGGTACCCGGTGAGATAAAATCATAGGATAATAACCTTCTAGCGCCCAACAGGCAGCTTTGGTTATCCGGGTAATAATGTTGTGCTGTCTGTGCGCGCAACGAGCCATGCCATCATGTCGTTTAAGATATGATGTTTGTGCCAAGGAAGGGCATCCACTGACAAGGTGTTGGACAGTCTCCGTGAATTCTTTGCAAAGTCGACATTTCATATTGATATTTTCTTTAAGAATCATATTTAGGCGATTGCGAGTGGGAAGTGACTGGTCCTGAGCAGCAAAAAGGAAGCCCTCAGTTTCACATTTAAGACCAGGCGAAGGAGTCGGTGGAATTGCTATTCTGTTCAACACACTGCATGTACACACGATGCAATGGCTTCTCAGAAAGCTTCTCCA